ATTTGATTTAGTTATTTGTTTAGCAAGCAGTGGACACGGAATTAATAATCACATCCAATGACTGTCCAAGCATAGGCCAAATAAGAACTCTTACCCAAGCCTCCAACCTACCGAAGCCTAGAACTACCTCGTCCTATAGTGAATCCAATAATAAAACCCATTATTCACTAAAAGAAATAGATAGTAACTCGACAGATATAGGTGAACATGGTATTCACACCAATTGCAGCTCAGGGTTATGCCATGAGGAACCAGTGGATGCCGATCCACACTTGAGCCTGATTGAAGAGCTTAAATACTTCAAATACTTCTTCAACTCTCAACTTTACTTAATCCTTAATAATGCTATATCTATCCTAAACATACTACCAAGGCTCAGGGCACACACGCTGTTATATGAACCCCCCATTATCATTATTGCTGAATCCTGGTGTAACTCCAATATACCAGACGAAGAGATAAGCATCGATGGGTACACACACTTTCGCTGTGACAGGAAGGGTGGTAGGGGAGGAGCCTGCCTAATGTACTTCCTGGACACACTTACTGTCTTGTAGCTAGAAAATAGGGAACTCAATGACATGCACGACACCCTATGGGTCAACGTACACTTAAGAAGTTCTACACTACTAATAGGATGTATCTACGGAGCACCTGGCACCTTTAGTGACAACGAGACTCAACTAATAAATGCACTGGAGCAAGTATACACTCTTCCATACGAGCATAAGATCATATGTGGAGACTTCAACCTACCCGAAATCAACTGGGATTTATTAACAGGCCCAGCTTATTATGACACTGGACATCTTCGGCTGGAAACAAACTGTCACTATCCCTACAAGAGGTGACAATGTACTAAACTTAATATTCTGTCACGATATAAGTCCCCTATCAACCCTAGTAGGTTCTGAGTTTTCAGGTTGTGACCACAAAACAGTGATGTGTGCTCTGCCACTTCCACTGAGTGGCAATGCAGCTCATATCTCCATTTCACAACAAGTAATATATAGGAACTATAGTAAGGCAAACTGGGCTTTCGTAGAATCAATGCTAAGATCCTCTGAATGGGGCAAATAATTCACTACTGATGCCCTCTCGAGAACACTGAGCATCTTCTGCCATAACCGAAGCACATGCTTAGATGCTGTCATTCCAATCCAAACATTAAGGTTTCCCCACATAGAAAGTCATCCATAAAACCAAAGGACCGTACTAAACTGAAGAGACTATCAACAAGTTACTTCAAACACCACGACTTTGGCACACTAGGTTTAACACTTAACACCCTTAGCTCCATCTCACAGGCTCGAGATTTGCGTATAAGAAACGAAGAACGCACCGCACTAGTCAGTCCTGATAGAGTGTATGCTCTCACAGAAATCCTAAAGAAGCGGTTGAATCGCTAAAATCCACAGCATTTCTCTCCTCATATACAAAGAAAGGTTATGCACTGATTCTGCAGACATGTATGAATTATTCAACAAAACATTTGCAGCTAACTATCTTAAGCCTACAGTCCTGATACTCGATATACACCCTGCTACTAATATGGCACAACTTCCACCGGAACAAACTGGTACCGTTAAATTCACTTATGCTGACATTAAGCAAACTATTAGAACTCTCGGAAGCTCGAAAGGTTTTGGCACGGACGGTATATTATCGTATTTTTATAAATATGGTGGCCCTGACATTCCCTTACTACTGCCTAAAATCTTCACAATGTCCTTAGAAACCCAAACTTACCTGGATATATGGAAAACAACACTTGTCATGCCCAAACACAAATGTGGCTCAAAAACAGAAGTCAACATCTACAGGCCGATCAGTATCACACCTATCGCATCTAGAATAATGGAGAGACTAGTTAAAGATAACCTAATCAAGCATATGCTTAGCTGCAACATTGTAAGTCCGAACCAACATGGATTCCTAAAATCCAGATCTTGTTTAACATGCCACTTAGACTTCTTTAACTTTGTGACCAGCAGTCGTGACAGACGACAACTAGTACTTGTCATCTACTTTGACATTTCTAAGGCATTTGGCCGTGTCGACCATTTACTACTAATACATAAGCTGAACTCCTTAGGAATACGTGACTCATTATTAGGATGGCTTAAATCATTTCTTAACAACAGGTCCCAAATAGTTAAACTCGGGTATGTAACTTCATCATCATCAGGCGAAACCAGAAGCCTATATATGAAACTATATGCTCGCACCAGCAGGGACAAAAACTCAACCACACCCTACTTAACTCGTGTTCTGTGCGATAAAGAAAGCATTAGGCGTGACACCAATAATTCATTAAATAGTCAGTAGTACAACTGGACCTCGTTTTCCCAACTAATATCATTTATAGGTACAACATTTTCTTTCTTTCTTTTCCTATCTCTCTCTCTTCTTCTATTTTTTCCGTTATGTGCTGCTTTGTTTCTTTCTTCCGCTTACGCCAGTAAATATGATAGCACTTCCATTTCTAACACCTTCAAACACTGTTCAACTTTGGCTTTGCTACCGACATGCTAATATGTTGTTGTCATAATGAACTGAGATTTCCTTAATCTATGTAGAATTCTATTTATTCATAATGTACTAACTGGATGCAATACTGTAGTAAAAATGCTGAGAATTCCATTCTGTATCACAAGTACTGTTTTGGAATAAAGCAAATTATTATATAAAAAACTAGACCAATCACTTCTGGTGTAGTACAGGGTAGTGTCATTGGACCCCTCCTATTTACCCTATATATTAACGACATATGCGCTTGCTTCTAACATGGGAGACCATTCATCTTTGCAGATGACCTAAAAGTTGCTTATTCATTCCAGTGTCGCGCAGAAAGAATTAGATAAAGTGACTGCTTGGTCGTCTTTATGGAATCTAAAATTTAACCTGAACAAATGTGGTTGGATCTGCTTCGGCGCACCCTCAATCGACATGAAATAAACGCTTCAATCTGCGAACCTAACCAAACTCCGAAGTGTCGTTGACTTAGGCTTGAGGTGCTCTAGAGACTCAACATTCTCTGAGCAAGTGGCATCACAGACTCAAAAGTCAAGGATGCTCTTAGGATGCATACTCAGGAACTTTCACGACATTGAAGCCAAGCTAATTCTGTACAAAACATGTGTAAGGCCACAACTAGAATACTGTCCATTTATTATTAGCAGCACTCGCACACGTGACAAGCTAAGGATGGAAAGTATCCAACGATATTTCACCTCCAAACTACTTGGCTACGATTGTAAGAAAGACTACATCTCACGGTGCATGATCCTAAAACTTGCCCCACATTGGACAAGACGACTTATAATTAACCTAGTATTCTTCTTTAAGGTCCTACACAAAATATCATTCTCAGGCAATAAAGACATGCAACTCGCACAGGAAGGATCTTACGATCTGCGTAACCAACTTGCACAGTGACAGTAGAGGCCTTTAAATCAATATCCCGCGAAAACTTCACAGTCATGTATTCTGAAATATGGAACAGCCTGCCTCTAGATGTCAGAACCTGCACCTCCGCTATAAGTTTCAAACGCTATCTGTACATACTGATTCACCCTACTGAGCACATTAAAAAACTGTTTATTCATAGAACGAATCAATTATTAGTTTATTACAGTACCTAAAATACGGGCTTAAATACCCTAATTACCCTATAAACGATAAACAAACTAGTCGCATAGATGTATAAAAAGACTAAGTAGGCATAAATATTTATGTTTACTAAATTATAATGTACAATGAATGTAAACATATATGTTCACCCCCACATACTTTTTCTTTGTTCTCTGGTACTTTGCTGCTCGCCTCTTCTGTTGTATTTGCCTTGTAGTAAAAGTTGCACAGATATACATGTAGACTGAAGTTGAGGAACAATTGAAATCACTTACTCATATATCATCCTTCAAGGTTTGGCTAGTAATGACCCAGCATTCTTGATAAAATCTACTGTCACCATAACAAGACGCTGTACAGCATCCTATACAAGCAGTGTCAATGATCTAAAATGGCTTACAAATAGCTTTCTACGTTTTATTCAACTTACTCGTTCGAAACAACCATGCAATGACAAATGGCGGTCTTTGCTGACGTGGGTGCAGTAAAGCAAATCTGCGTGACAATAATCAATATTAATCTGCATTCAGCAGAATTCACATCTGGAGGAACTGACTTCAAGCTTTGTTTTTTCCCGAATATTTGTAAACCATTCAACACATAACTGGGTTTTTTGTTAATGCGAAGACAATATTTCTATGTTTCTCAATGTGCTCCATTGAATGACTAGCTAGCAGATTGTACTCACAAACTAATGTCAGAAAGGACAGCAACCATGTGATTTCACCATAAATCAAATTCGTGTAATGTAAATAATGCTTATCCATGCCTGTACAACTGAAGTGTCCTACATAGATAGGAATAAATATATTATTACTATGTTACCAGAGTCATTGACAAAACAATACGTCTATGTCAGGGAGCGAGTATCCGTCAGCACAGAAGAACATCCCCCATATTCCAGACACCCATACTGCCATTACGATACCGGATAAGTCCTCCAGTAATAGTAATGGAAAGACTGGCACGAAGGAGACGTATAAAGGGTCAAAAACCCGCAGCTCAATTCGCCCAGAGACTTGTAGATCAAGCCTCGTCCACACGGTGGATTGCAGGCAGATAGAATCAACTATGATTAGCGAGGAGGACGCCAATGAATGTCGTAATGTGGTCTCTAGCAAAAAGCAGATAAGGAAAACATATTGGCCACATTGCCCACGAAGGATGGAAAGATATTTACGCCGCAGAGCAAGAAAGCTATGGCAAGCCAACCTGATCTCTCTGACAGGTGGCTCATTTTACGCAAAGTGGGAGAATCACCGGCTCCGATCCCAAGGTCAGGTTCGAGCATAACCTTAACTTGGTCAACCTCTTTTTAGATAAGCTACCGCCAAAAGCAATATCAGGCAATACAATACGTAGCGTACATGGAATCGGTAAAAAGCCAGACCCTACAGTAAATCAGCCTGTACGTCTCCTCAAAGTCGTACTAAACTCCAAAGAAGAGAGGGATATCATTCTAAGCGATACTCAAACTCTTAAAGGATCAGGCGTATACGTCTGTGTTGACTTATGCCCAGCAGACCGTGTCAAAAGACAGTCTGCTGGCCTAGAATTAAGCCAACGACTACAAAACGGCGAAAAACCTTAAGATTAAGGGTTTTGGGTTGTCAAAGTTCGAAGTTTGACAATCTCAAAACCTCTGTGGGTAGGCCACGGAAGTACCAAACTGAGTTGACAGTTTGCTACACAAACGCCCGCAGCCCGTCGAACAAACAAACTGGGCTAGGTATTGTGATAGACTCCGGAAATCCGGGTGTAGTTATCATCACAGAGACATGGCTCACTTTCTGTGTCACTGATAACAAAGTTAACCTGCCAAACTTTGAAGTGCATAGGGTGGACTGACTAAACCGCAAAGGATGTGACGTAGTCATCTACCTCCAGAAATGCTTGACTGTGAGTAGCGTTGAAGCACTTGCTCACGAAAGTGAATCATGCGGACTTCTACACTGCAGACTTAAATGCATAGGTCAAGATATTGACCACGTCGCTATATACCTCAATCCTGACTGCAGTGCATATGATTTCCTAACAGGGCAGCTAGACTCCTGGACATCGAAATTTCGAACTCTCGTAGAAGATGACTTCAACTCCCCAACAGTTGACTGGACAAGCCTTACAACGCCACCTTCAGTCAACTCCTTTGATCATAAACTGATGGAATCTAGCATTTCGCTAGACCTAGTTCAACATGTCATTAAGCCCACGCGCTATGACTCACAGCACTTCTCTTCAACTCTGGAACATTTGATCTCCCATAGTGAGGATGTGGATCTCATAAAATACCTTCCTCCCTTAGAAAGAAGTGATCAGGCTGTGCTCATTTTCAAGTTCGCAGCAACAGCACCATGGGCCAAAACCTCAGCTCGACCAAACGTTTGGAAAGCTGGTATAAATGCGATCGTCTCAGCATCCAACCCAGTGAACTGGCACATCAACCCAGAGTCCCAGATGGAAGCCGCATGGAACTAATCTAAACAACTTAGCGTCTAAGTAACTGAACCTTACATCCCTTGATCTATCCCGAAGAGTCGGAAACATTGCCCCCCTTGGATAAACAGAGAGACTCATAAGTTACTCAGACGTAAACTTAAACGTTGGAGAGTGTTTGCCACACTTGAGACACCTGAGACCAGGAAATTATACAGCACTACTAGGAATAAAGCTATTGCAGAGATCCGTCAATCAAGGATGACGTTCGAAGCACATCTGGCTCAAAATGCAAAGGCACAACCTAAGAAAATTTTCCCGCCCATGAAATTCAAGAATTAAACATCCAGTGGTGTCCCAAACCTGACTATTGACAATAGCATAATCGAAAAAGATCAAGAAAAAGCAGAAGCAATGGAAGACTACTTCTCCCAAGTATTTACACAGGAGTCGTTACTACCCATAGGATCAGCTCTGGCTACATCAGAAGAACATGGGATAGATTCCGTTTATGTCAACCAAGAAATCGTGCTCAACTGCCTAATGAAACTAGATGCAGGGAAATTGATTAATCCAGATAATCTTCATCCAAAGCTTCCGGGGAAGTCTCTAATGCCTGTCAAATCTTCTCACGGCAAGAGAAAGCTGGGTCAAGTTAAGGGACAACAGAAGTCTCGTCGGTATCTCCTTCATTGACTTCGGCAAAGCCTGCGATGAAAGTGGCTGACAAAAGACTACTCCCTAAGCTGGAAAGCCTTGGTATCAAAGGCAGCTTAGAATTTGGATTAAGGAATTTGTCATAAGTAGGAGACGGAGGGTCAGGATAGTAGTGGAGTGCCATAAGGCACGGTACTCGGACCTCTCTTATTTATTTTGTATATCAATGAGTTATCTCTGCCCACCGATTCCCTTATGGTCCTAAACGCAAATGCCTTAAAAATTTGGAGAGAGCTGAGGGGCAGTAATGATACGCTCTTGGTGCAGAAGCACCTCAACAAATTGTCAGAATGGTACAGAGAATGGTTGCTCCCGATCAATGTAGCGAAATGTGCAACCATGCGCATCGGACAGGAAAGTATCAGTTCCTACAAAGTAGAAGGGATAACACTCCCATCAGTTCAGACTCATTTGGATTTAGGTGTCATAGTAAGTCACGATTTAAAGACTACAGCACACTCTCGCGCAGTAGCTGCACGTAGTTTCAGATCCTAATGGGCAATTCTCAGAGCCTTCACTAGAATCATCCCTTTACATACACCCCTGGTGAGGTCAAGACCGGAAAATTGTATTGAGGCAGCCAGTCATTATCTTAAACGGGATTCACAAATTCCAAAAAGGGTTCAGAGAAAGACAACACATATGATTCTTGGCACGACTAACTTATCATACGAGGAAAGACTAAGCAGTTTAAATCTCTTCTCCCTGTCACACAATAGGCAGAGAAGATATTTAATTACTGTGTTTAAAATTTTAAATAATGACCATGGACCTGACCTACTCTCTCTTTTCCTTCACACCAGGTCGGAACACCTTGGAGAACATAGAAGGAGAGTTCGAATTCCAAGAAGAAATCATATTGATGTTGAGTACTGGTTCACACACCGAGTCATAAACTCTTGGAACCGACTCCCAGAAGAAGTGGTGTCTGCAACCTCAACTGATTCATTCAAGAAGGGTTTGGACAAGTACAGAAATGTACTAGAAAACGATTAACACAGGCTTCAAGCCTTCTATCCTCAACCAATAGATGTGAAATCTAATGACGTCATCAATGTATGAGCTTCAAAAGGGAACAACTCTTATATAACGGTGTTCAGTGTCTACTGGGTGTGTGAAGAGAAGCGTGAACTGTTGCTTATGTTTATGAATTTACTTGGGTTGGCGTTTCACTCCATATTCACATCGACATATCCAAGACAGTTCACATTTGTTATGTTACATCCAATTTATTTTGTGAAGTGTCCTTCAGGATTGTCGCATACTTCAAACTGCATTGTTTTGTACGGTCGGACACATACTCACTCACAGATTTCCAGGTACTCAAGTCTCGTCGGTGGCATAGTTTTTTTTTTCCAAAAATAAAAATTTTCACCTTCTAAAGCTGTTAACTTATCTTGGTTTTTGCCTCTTCCTCACTGTGCGTCGGTGGCACAGTGGTTAGGACTCTCGCCGACCATGCACATGGTCCGGGGTTCGATCCCCCGCCGGCGCACACCCGATATCTATGGTCGGCCTGAATTTGGGCTACCGATATCCATGCTGAAAATTCCACACTTGTACTGAAAATACGGTGTGGAATCAAGCTGTAAATCGAAAAAAAAAAAAACGGCAATCTGTTCATACTATTAAGACATTTGTGTGCATACACACAATATCTTCATATAACTCCCCTTTCTCATTATATTTTATTCTCGGAGTAGTTTTGATGTAGTCTGAATTGTCTATATGCTTACCCCAGTGCTATACGTTTAGCACTATTCCTTTCTGATATATTACTTTGAAATGTGACCATCTGGGCGAACTGAGGGTACGTAACTGTTATTGTACTGTTTTAAATGATTAGAATATCAGAAAGGGAAGTACACTTATTTATCATAACATGTAATGATAAATAATGTTTGCATAAATAAATAAGTTCCTGACATTTCATGAACACCAACCTACTTCTGTATCTGCCAGATATAACCCAGAACAGTAACCAGATGCATAAGTCATTTGAGTCCATACGTATGTTATCACTAAAAAATTGTTTGCGTTATTTCTTCAAACGATAACTCGTCCTGAGAAAAGTTGTTTTCTGGAGCAAATGATCTCATGGCGAGAAATCTGTAAGTTTAAATTCATCTCAGTTAGTATTCGTTTCCATCAATTTCCTTTCCACAATTACGGATAAATTGATAGAATAATATCTGTTAAGGGTTATTTTTGGTACTTTGTTTGATAAAACCTCTCCTATTAAAATTTGCTTTCGGTATAAATTTGTTGTTTCAAAATCTGCAATAGTTTCTTTAGTTATATGCTATCTCTTTTGCGTCTATTGCCTAGTTATATACCTACTTTACTTTTTCCCATTGTTTTTTTAAAGACAGTAATAATTGCTTAACATTGTACTATTGTTCTAATAGAAAGTTCTATATCATTTCAGGCTCCAAGCTTAAACAATGTCAGATGAGAATGAAAATGAATGTGAGGAGTTCTTAAACATCGTAAAACTTTCTTTGAAGGAAGACAAGGAGCATGTTCACGTCCTCGTTATTATTGGTGCTTCTGTAAGAGTTTTTAAAATGCTTATTCATGAATGTTATAGGGTGATTTAGCAAAAAAGAAGACTTACCCAACTTTATGGTAAGTTTCCAGTTAACTTACTTTGAACGCAGGTGGTTGTTTCGCGATGGTCTTTTACCTCCTCGAACTTACTTTATTGGATTTGCGAGGTCAGATATAACTGTGGAAAATATAAGAGAAGCAAGCGAAAAATATATGAAGGTGAGATATTGCACTTGGTGTATTGTTAACAGTGTCAAAACTCAAGCTTTCATTTTTCTTATATTAATTATGTGATGTTTACTTATACGCTGATTTTTTTTGTTCTGGCTTTAATTTTGCTTACGAATTATAGGATCTCAACAGATGCTTAATTGATTCTTTATGACCATTCTTTTACGTGTTTAGGGCCACATAACTAGACAAGAATTTTGTTTATCGCATTTACCATCAGCGTCCATTGACAACTAAAATCCGTGAATACTAAATAATGAGGAAGATATGTTCGATAATCATGTATTTTTGGCATTTCTATTAACCAGTGACAGATCATTGGTGCAACTCGCATTCTCTAAACTTAAATTTCAGAAGATATTTCTTTAGAAAGTATGGGATAATTGTGATAATGTTCCTTCACGTCAGTCAAAGCGGATTATAAACCAGTCGTGAAGATAACTGGTAACAAAATTGCAGTTCTTGGGATATTTCTTGTGATTTTAATTGTATTGGTCGAAAATCTAGAAACTTATTGAATGTTCAGATTTTTAATAGAATTTCGTGATATCATGAGTTCATTTTCTTGCATTAGATGTTTTCTGTTGATAGAAAACGGAGCTGTTTGACAAAGCTGTTAAGTAAAGTAAGGCGCTTTTAGTACATTGAACTAAAACAGATGAAGTGTCGCAAAAATTTCATCTATTGTAGCTGTAGACATTCAGAATTTCCCATATAAAGCCTCGTTTACCAAATTATAGTGACAAATAGGACAGCTTTAAAATAGTCGTTTGCTTTAAAGGTTTTATGAAACAAAAATGTGTCTTCCAAGTTGACTTAAATATGTAAGGGTTTTTTAAATTAGGCCGCTTTGACATATTTGGTTGATCAGTAGTATAAGTTTAGAGATCTGTGCAGTATTTCAAGGGTTGCGTATTGACTTTTATTATTCATGGTCTCTCGCTTGATGTTTTACCCATTTCTCTGTTTCCAATGCTGTGTTTCTACAAAGCGGTCTTATACAGCTTCTTCGCTCCAAAGAGTTTGACTTCGTAATACTCTAAGGGTCTACTTGGTTGGATAAAGTGCTTAGCAGAATTATCGAGCAGGAAAATGGTGTAACTAGATGGTGTCAAACGCAGTTTATTGTTCTCTGTCTTATCAAGACAGTTGTAGTTCTTATTATAGTCTGTTTTTGGTTGTTGGTGATCATATATATTTAGTGAAATCGGATATAAAAGTACTCGGTTTATTCCACCCTACTACATAGTTATGTTGTTCTATTCATCTCTGAGCTGTTCTTCAGATTGCTTATTTTGGTGATTGAATGAAGTTTCTTTACCTTTATGACGTAAGCAACCCTTACTAATTTCGTAGACCAATGTCTTCTAAATGGTAATCATTTTAAGGTTCTGGCAAACAGTTCTTATCCAGTTAACACAGTAGTAACCTTCAACTAACGAGGTTTTCTAAATTGTGTGTTTACTGTTCGACTAGGTGAAGTTTTAGTTCCCTGCATCACTTTAATACCTGTTAGATTCCTTTGTTATGTGACAGCATTGTTGAGCCAATGTAATCTTTTATCATATAGTAACTGTTACTCATATAGTCGATGCGTGTATCATCGCTAGATGTTTTGGTTTCCACTGCTTTTTAAAGGAATTCTTAATAAATATAAGAGGGAGTTTATTCAACCGAGATTTCTTTAATACGAATCATCCTGTCATAAATCTTTTTAGTGTTTGTACTGATGATCCTCCTATTCCAACACTTCACTAGATATATTTTTAAATAACAGAATGAAGAAAGCTCGATTTTGTAATATAAATTAAAATACATTTTTATGCTAAAATTTGTACTTAAGTCCATAGTTTGTTTTCACTGAATCATGTGATGTTATAAGTTGATATGCATTACACTGAAATGGTTGGTATTAAGAATATAATTAAACCAGTTATAAACACTTCAAAAAAGTTGAAGTCACTAAAACAACAATTGTTGAACATCTTGGCTGTATTCATAATTTTCCCCACTGATTTATTAATCTCACCATATGCCTGCATTTATATTTATTTGCTAGTTTCCTAAATGCGATCAGATTTGCTTGACATCACTACTAAGTTGTTCGTCTGATATGTCGAGGACTATATTAGTTTTCTCTTTGTAGATTCTGAAAAGATTGTATTTATATTTTTTCGAATTACAGTTTACTTTTTGTAGACGTTTAACCGTCCTGGCACAGTACGCCTGCACTTGACATTAATTTACTGATTCTGCTGAGATCTCTTCTGTCTTTTATTTACAAGATAACATTTATATTTATTTATTTAAACGCATTAAAACTTGGTACAATATGGCACCAAGAAGGATGCGCCACACAATAATAATAAAACAACATAGATGAAAAAAAGGAAGGCAGGAAAAGAAAAAATATATATAAGTAGAGAACGAATAATGAACTTCATCTGGAAGGAAAACACTCATTCTTAACAGGTTCAAACAGTGTTCGTTAACTATCATCGGGAATGGAAGAAAGAAGGAAATCGCAACACATTCGCCATTGATTACGATTCTTGGCCATATCCGATAACGTTTCGAGCCATCGATTTGAGCTATCTCTCAGACCCCAACCAGGGAGTCGTGACACACCAACCGATGCTAATCTAGCACAAATATCCTTCATCCCACGACGCCACGTCATGGGCTGACCACCTCTCCGCCTTTTCCAGCCCGTCCCAGGGCTAGCGAACAGAGACCTGTACGGAAGCCTCTGGGGTGACATTCGCAGCACATGCCCAAGCCACCGGAGCCGGTGTTTCCAGATGACGACACTCAACAAGTGGTGATCTCCACTGTGTTCAAACACACGCCGCCGAACCTCAGAATTACTCACGCGATGATGCCATCGAACGCAAGCAATCCTGCGGAGACAGCGGTGATCGAACACGCAGAGTCGCCTCACATCCTCAGCTCGGAGAGGCCAGGTTTCACAGGCGTAGAGCAGCGCAGCCCGCACCGAAGCATTGTATACCCGACCTTTGACAGCCAGGCTAACCTCGCGACGGCGCCAGAGGTGGCTCAAGTTGATGTATGCCACCCTAGCTTTCATTATACGGTTAGAAATCTCATCCGTCACCCCTCCGCCAGCACTCACACAACTACCTAGGTACACAAACTTATCGACAACTTCAAGCGGTTCACCCGCAAGAGTGAGTGCAGGTACAGGCTCCTGCCAATCTTGTAACAGTACTTTGCACTTAGACGGCGCAAAGCACATACCATACTTACAGACACTGATCGCCAACTGATTAAGTGCGATTTGGGCAGCCTGCATGCTATCGCACAGTAAGACGATATCGTCTGCATACTCGAGGTCGAAAAGTCTATCTCCAGGTAGCAGATCTACACCACCTTCACGCACATCCTTCAGAGCTGACTCCAGAATGTCATCGATGGCAAAGTTAAAGAGAAATGGTGAGATTGGGCAACCCTGTCTAACCCCACTGTTGGTTGGGAACAGTGGTGATAGTTGGTTGTATGCCCTCACTCTACCTGAGGTGTTTCTGTATAGGGCTTTCAAGATGTTAACAAATTTCTCAGGTACACCTCTCTCTAACAGACAGTTCCAGAGCACAGTTCTGTCCAACGAATCGAAGGCAGCCCTAATATCAAGAAACACAACGATCGTTGGCCTGCAATACGTGTGGCGGTGTTCCAACAACTGACGAAGGGTGAACACATGATCAATGCATCCACGACCTGAACGAAACCCAGCCTGCTCTTCGCGAATCAATCCTTCGCGTATTTTGCACAGTCTGCGAAGCATGACAGCAGCCAATATTTTAGACGCAACTGGTAACAGACTGATACCCCTATGGTTGTCACACGAATTACGTCGACCCTTTTTAAAGATGGGGACGATAATGGCTTCGTTCCACATTGATGGTACGCTCTCTGTCTCCCACACCCTCCTGAACAACCCAGTTAGAGCCATTATGAGAGTCTCGCCACCCTCTTTAAAAAGAGCCGGGGGTAATTTGTCTGGGCCGGGCGCCTTATGGCGTTTCAGAACTTGGAGTTCCTTACGGACCTCCGCTTCGGTGGGTGGGTCGGTACTAACCGACCAAGGAGCACTCGGGCTAATGATAGTAGACAATGAAGCTGGTGGCCAGCTGAACTGCTTCCCGAAGTGCTCCGCCCAGCGTTCCAGGCGTCTCTTCAGGCTGGTAATTGGAGTGCCATCTGCCTCACAGACCGTCTCGCTGACACCTTGTTTCTTGCTGCCGGTGGCTCGTATGAGTTGGAACAGCTTCCGACTGTTGCCAGATGCATCAGCTGACTCCATCTCATACGCACGTTCTGACCACCAGGCTTCGCGGTCCTTACGTAAACACTGTCTAATCTTGCGCGTGAGCGCCTTTCGCTGATTGTTGTATTCACTGCCAGCCGGAATGGACCGGCGTTCATCCATGAGTTGCAAGGAACTCGCAGAAACCCAGTGGTTGTTAGCGGAGCATTCTTTCAAGCCGCAAGCGGCTACACTCGCCTTTTGCATGGCACCTTGCACATGAAGCCAGTGTTCATCTATACTATTTGGGGGGTTGCTGGCAAGCATTGTTTTCAACTCGTTCTGATATTTCAAAGAAGTAGCAGGTGCTACTAGTTTGCTCACATCAACGCTTAGACGACGGTTTTTACGAACCCCACCAAATCGCAAGACGAACTTGGCACACACTAACGCATGATCGGAGTCCAGGCATGTGCTCCAGAAGGAGCGACAGTCTTGTATGCATCCTCGCCACCGGAAACTGACCGCAATATGATCAATCTGAGTCCAAGCTTGCTTCGCAGAGGGAGGACGCCAGGTAGCGCTACGGCGATGGCTGTGCCGGAAGTTGGTGCTGGCTAGAAATAGGTTGTGATCTGCGCAAAGCTGCAGAAGACGGTCCCCATTATCTGACCTGCGACCATGTAGTCCCCACTGACCACCTAGACGACTCTCCTCTGAGCTTAGACGCCCGACCTGTGCGTTCAAGTCCCCAGCTAGCACTACGATATCCCTCCGACCCGCCTGTTTCAACAGATCGCTCAGTTGGTAGTAAAACTCATCCTTCATTGCATCCGGGCTGCAATCCGTCGGTGCATAGGCAGAGACAACAAATAGACACCGCCTATCTGGCCTACTACTCCTTACTTTCGTATATCCTTCCAGCCTCACAGCACATAAACGACTGTTAATGGGAATCCAGTCGAGCAGTGCAGCTTCGGCTCTAGCGCTCAGTGCGACACCGACACCAGCTACGCCGGATGCTGATGCCACAGGGTCCCCGGATAAGCGCAGGTGGTACATACTACTAGAACTTCCAGATGGAGAGGACAGTCGAAGCACTTCACTGGGATCTTGAATGCGGGTCTCCGAAATGCAGCAGACATCGATAGCGAGGCTTTCCAAAGTTCTTGCCAACCCTGCCTGTTGTCCGATTTGCATCAGCGTCCGAACATTGTAGGTAGCCAGCTTGAACGCAGCACGCGGTTTCAGGATATCTGTGTTAGAAGTCACATTGGGAACAACCATTTTGAGGACTACTCACTAACATCTCGAAACGACACGGATAGGCTGGGAATCTCGACAAAGGCGAAAGGCTGTCGAAGGTTAAGAAGCCAAGGTTAGAAAAGGTAAAATACAGGAAACTATGTGTAAAAATAATAGTAAGATAGGAAGGAAATAAGTTGCTTGAGGGATCAATATTGCTTTGAATCATTTTTCACCAGCGCGCGTTGAGTTTCAATGAGGGTTCGTTGTTTCAATTCATTCATTGTGTGCGGGCTGAGATACTGCCCGGGCGCCCAGACCGAAGCAGGTGGTTTTATTAAGGGACCACCCCCCGAGCCTTTGACTTGGAGTCTAATCCGCAAGGCAGCGGAGCAGCGTCAGGTGCTGCGTTCCCATGGTTGCCGGTGACCCATATGGGTTCATACGCCATTTGATCCGATTGGATTCTGGAGCCCATGTACCCCATGGTAACTGCTTTTAGTCTAACCGCTATCCAAACAACCTTCCTGGCATGGTAGGACCTGCAGGGACATGAGTCCCAGCCAGTTTAGCTTGTTGGGTCACTGCGGCATTCAAGCCCGACCACCACGGCAAGGTAGCAGTTGTAACCCCCCTTTGCTGTGAAGTAAATATTTAGACCTATCTGTATCACTGTTTATTACTGAGTCTAGTAATCTTGTTGACAGATCGATAATGCACTTTTTTTAAACTTATTATTGATCATTTCCTTAGTTTCGATTGGCAAAGATTAGGTCTGTAAAATTTGAATCTTAGAATCGCTAAGTTGCTTCGTTATGATTATAGTTCGTACATTTTATGCCAATCTTTCACCAGGCACTTAAACAATATTACTGACTAGTCAGAGGTGTTCTATGACCACTAAAACAATTAACAGTACATTGTTGTGCAATGTGTAGATTATTTTGGCATTAAACGTTACGGGGCACTTTAAAGAAGCCTTGGACTTAGATTCTATAGTTCTTGAAAATCATTAGTAAAGAGCATTTGCAACCTTAAAATGTCTCATATACCCTCAGGGATTCGAATTACGTCTCACAGTTGTAAGGTAAAAAGCTATCAGTGGGTTCTTCTTCCCGTAGTAAGTAAGCACATGAACTGAACTTTGTAGATGTATCAGTCAGTGGATGTTGATAACTTATGTAGCTGTCTATTTCTGAGGGCTGTTCAAAATCCACTAATGTACAAATGTACATATAATTTCTAAGTTTCCACGTCATAGATGTTACGAATTTCCTGGAGTAATTTCAGCGCCGAGTCAGATTGAATCATAAATTATTTAAAATAATCCCAGCGCAGCTTACACAGCGAAACATTCAGGATTTTTTCTTAAACAAGCTGGGATTATTTTAAATAATTTATAATTGTACATATAATTTGTAAGTTAACTTCATTGTAGGCAATATACTACAGCTTCTTGAACAGTCAGTCGTTTAGTGGTGTTTATCATTTCTTCTTCTCCTAACCTGTCTTAAATTATCAACTGTTGTTCAGGTAATATCTAGTATTTACCTGCACTGATTTGGTTTGTACAGTATGAAATTAAATTGTATTTTAAATGGTTTCCGTAGAACAAATCTGTTGCATAAAGTAAAAAGTGCTTTGCCACTTGACCTTTAACTACGATTATAATCACAAACATTTTAGTTTTAATTGCACTTCATATTATTATTTCATGCATTCACACCTATGTTTCAATTCCCTCACCGGATATAACTTCTTAAATAACTATAACTATAACTTCTTCTATAACTTCTTAAAAACCATATATATACGATTGTACAGCTTGATGATAAATTCGTTGAAAAGAGTCTCTTCGCTGAATCATTTGTTTTGATTTTCTATATGAAAACTAACAGTTGCAAAATGTAAGCCACATGACTTAGCCTTAGACTTTACGGTTGTCCTGTTTAAATTTTTATGCAACTCATTTCAACACGTTATTTTTAAAGTTGGGCTGTACAAAAAAATTATTATGCTCGATAAAAAGTAGTGGCGCGCATGCTTTAAATTATTAATGCTTACACTGCATTTATTAATGGGGGCACTCTCAAATTCTAACAATAAAATATGTGTTGAAGAGTCCCTATTTATTATGAATTTACATAAAGCTAAACAAATATATTCAGCTTATCAAATGAACATTTGAAATTTGTTCTACTTTTATACATGCTTTGTAAACGATGTAAATACATGATTCTTATTAATGTTGACCATGTGATCGTGTTTAGATAATTAACTCTTTTAAGTTATGAGTTTGTACTTGGTAACATGCTTTCTGGATTGATTTTACATGTGTGTGTGTGTGTGTGTAAGTCTGCAACTGAACGGACGCAGAAAATAAACATTTGTGAAGCCTTCACATGACCGAATTTTTAATAATAACATTAGGTTTGCATACATACCAAGAGATAACTAGATACATATCTGAAGAAACCTGGTACTATAACCAGTGTTCCGTAAAAGCCAGAGTGAAGACTGTTGATAACCTGTAGCCAAAAATTAGTAAATGCCAGTGGATTTCTGTAGCTTCCTTCAAAATAAACTATGTGAGAATACTTTTCCCTACAGGCTAATGACATGGCAAGGAGTGAAGGCACCCAAAACGCAAGCTGACTATTAGTGTTTAAAGTGATTGCAATGAAAGTTTAAAAAAAATGGCAAAAGTATTATCTTGTTAGTGAAACGGGTTCTAAAAGGCTATGGTAAGTGAACAGTTCCTCGATAAGGATGGAACTTTAGTTACTTAGCAAAAGAAATGAGGTCATGCTAGACTGTAAAATAAAAATAAAACAAGATGGCTGGTCAGATACTAGCATTTATAGGAAACCGGCACACTCTAACAAATACTTAGACTTTAACTTATCCCATCCGAGATCGGTAAAGGTAGGTTTATAGTTAAATGTCTGTATAATCGGACCAAGAAAGTAACTAGTAAGTCAGAAGATTTAAATAATGAAATCAGACAAATAAAGAAAGTATTACTAGTTAATAACCACCCACCAGAACTTATTCAAAAACATATAAAGAAAATAGAAAAACCAAGATTAGCAATAAAAGTGACGAAGATAATATAGAATTCGAAGCCTCTGTAGTACTACCGTATGAAGTAGAAACGTCAGAGGCCTTACGTAGAATTCTCAATGAGGCTGGAGTTAAGGTGGCATTTAGACCAACCAACTCTCTCAGAGGTAAACTTTGTCGACTTAAGGACCCGATAGGTCTAATTAAGAAAAGCAACATAATTTACCAAATACCATGCAATGACTGAGAGGTCAATTACATAGGTCAAACTAGTAGATCGGGGTCAATTAGATTATTGGAAGATAAAGATTTAGACAGACCTAGAATAATTGACGCTTCTAAGTTAAATAACCTAGAAAAAAGCTCAGCCATTGCACTGCATTCACTTGCATTCAATAACAAAATAGAGTGGGACGGAGTGAAAGTATTAAAAAGTATTATAGTTATGTGGAGAAAGATGTTAATCACTGAATCTTTATTTTTATCGAATCAACACTAAGCACGTGCAATCGAAATGATGCAACGCCTATACCGGAAAATATGGGAATTTGCAACAAACAGCATGAGAGAGAGAGAGCAAAAATTTATTAAGCAAATTATGAAGCCGTGTGAATAAACTGAGCAATAAATTGTGCTTGAAACGTCATCAAGTTATTAATATTGTATCACTGTGTGTTATATGAAAAAAAGTATCTTTTATGGAATTACCTTCTACCACTGCACCCAAGTTCTACGCATACGTTAGCAATTAACTGTTACAAGTTATTACCATTCATATACAACTTATTTGTGTATCAGTACCTAGCTCATTAGTTTAATGCAGCCTAAATGCTCGTCAAGTCTCAAGAGACAGATTTGAGAACTTTAGATGCTTAGCATTTTGATACGGGAATGAAATTGAGCATCTCAGTGATTACTCATACGGTATTTGTTCATGCTTATAGGTCATACTTTTCTTTTCCTCAGTATTCCTTAGAGGTATTGTTTTTTTATAACATGTACTGTACTAATTGTCAACAAATTTTAATTGATTTCTGTCAGCTTCATTCGCTTCCATGTCAAAAATATGAAGAATTTTGGAAGTGTAATTTTTATTTAAGAGGCGATTATACAGATTCCACAACGTTTGAATCGCTCAATAGATTCATAGAAAATAAATGGGGAGAAAATGTGAATCGAATATTTTATTATGCTATACCACCATCAGTATACAAGCCTGTTTCAGCATCTATCAAAGAGCATTGTATGTCTAAAAAGTAAGCAAAATTTCATTACATTCTGTTGTTTAATTTCCCTTCTAACAATATTGGGCCATATCGGACCTACATTTTACATATTATGTATATATATGTTCTATGAAAGTTTTATATTGTACTTGAGAGTTTAAAACATTAAATGTTAATGCACATTACTGGGAGCATGAAAGGTCAAAAAGTGAATATTTTGAAATCTAATCAACCGTAATTAACAACAGATAATTACTACTTATAAATGTAATTATTATGAACACTGTTTTTAGCTTGTTTCATTAAATTTTAGTTTTCAAATTGATGGACAACTTAATTGGTTGATTAGAGTTCAGTTCACTATTTGTGTTAGTATTACAGCTGGCATGGAAATCGATAAAGTTTAATCAATTTCAAGTTTGATCACTAACTGACTTCAATTAGATAACCACTAAAAACCTCCAGGGAGTACTGGGAGGCTGTTTTGTCCTTGTGTGGGACTCTTCACAGCACGCACCCATGACCCCACCATGGATCAAATTCAGGCCCTTCAGGTTACAAGGCAAGCTCGTTGATCATTCAGACATCGAGACGGAATCCAATGGTCGGTTAATAAGTTCAGACTTCTGCCGATTCGCTATATAGATAGCGTAACTGTCTTTAGCCAATATCATCGGCAAGTATCTATCCTCACATCGAACTCGATGGACCTCACTGGTCACGACTTCCCATTAGGATTTTAGGCAACTTCATTATGTACTCAGTCACTAGTGGTGCTCTAACTGAAGTTAGCTTGTCATCAGTGTTGATAGTTAGTAACCAAAAACAAATCGTTTTAAAGAATTTGATTAATCGAAGGGACATATTTCTTGTTCTTTACAGTGTTTTCAAAGTCTGTTTATAAGTAATATTGAAAACAAGAGTTTTTTATGTAACGATATGCCCTGTTGTGTATGTGTAGTGTGTGCGTTCAGAACTTGTTAAAACACATACTTTTTTTTATCTCAAAATCTGTTTTAAAAATAAACTGTATCCTGTCCTCTTAGACTTTAGACTTGAAAATCTGTCAACTAAGTTTTCTCGTGTGAAACTGTACTTCTACTCAACACAACTAGGTGTTGTTGTAACAAGTAGCTTAGTGAAATAAGCTGTCCACGGCAACATACTTACTTCACACCAGTGATGATTAGAGATACGACTTCTCTGAATTAATATTGTTTGGCGAAAGTGAAAAAACACACGAGAAAGCATAGGAAATAGTCAATCATTTCCAAAGTTATTAGATAAGCCAGTCTAGGGAAACTGATGATAACTTTTAAGAACGAAAGTTGAAACAATGAGTGAGACTCTTTGGGGGACACTTCACTCAGTCTGAAAGTACTGTCTTAATATTATAGAAGTAATATACTGACTTCAGGTCTTCAACTATTTTCAAGGTCAAACAAACTCAGTAACTCAAGGATTTACAATTTACCAATTATCTAGTATTTGTCGTCAAAGGTGTTCCAGGATGCTGACTCAGGGCTGACTGTTTATCAAACTGAAAATTATGTCAGTTATAATGTGGTAGTTTGGTATGGTTACTTGTATTTATACTCAGATTTTATTCATTCAAGAGTACAGCGGAAGATTTTAAACGACCCAGTTAGGGAATAGCAATTCGGAAGTGCGAACGCATCGATAGCCTTGAAAGCATACTATTCGTTGGATAATGGGACGTACCATTATCATAGCACCACTATGAATGCTGTGCACAAACTGAGGCGCAAATTTCATCTCTATCTCATTTCTAAGTACTATTTGGACAACGAGTTGATAGCTGTTTAGGGTTACGATAAGGGTTAGGGTTAGGATTGGGGTGTTATATTTTCATTATCTGTATTTTTCCAGTAAATAAACGGCATTTTTATGTAAAATACACTGGTTAGTCTGTTTGGTCACCTCAAGGTCAGTTGTGCGTTCACACTCCTTGCATTGCTATTTTTTTAACTTTGCCTTTCAAACCTCAAATAACTGTGGGAAACCAAGTGTAACCAATAAATTTTGGGGGACACTCTGAGTTGAATTTTTTTAAAGCGGAACTTCTAATGTGTAAACAGTGAATTAGAAAGAATCAATCAAATTTTAGACCAGATCATGTATGCCAAATGCTTTAACATTGAGTCGGGATCTGTGTATCACTTAAAGTAAATGGTATTTATGACCACATTCATGGTTATGTGAGAGCCTATATGAAATCTCATTGACAATTGTTGATATTCTCTCCTATTTGTTTGACTGTTTAACAGACTTAACTACAGAAACCACACTTTCCTCTAACTTAATAGCAGTGGGTCTTAAAACGTGAATAACTGGTGTGTGGAGTACTTATGTAGAAGAGTAGCGCTGTTTGAATAAACTGACATGACAGTCAGTCGTTTTGAACATTTTAAATGATGATTTAAGGTCTTTTCAGAAGTTTTCCTCAACGTCGAAATTTAAATGTTGGCTGAGATCTGCTGTAAGTAACAATAGGGTATTAAGCCCATCATTCATTTCGTTTATTTGTAATGTCATATCAATCCTAAGCATTAGAGTAAGTTGTGTTAAAAATATTACAAATTCATGAGTTCGGTAAAGCCGTCGGTGCTCATGTACATCTTTCTACTTGAATTTTAAGAATTTATAAGTGATGTGTATATTGTATCATCTATATATATACATCAACAATGTTATCCTATGTTTATTTTTCATAGCCCTGAGACTTGGACTCGTCTAATCATTGAAAAACCTTTTGGTCGAGATTTAATATCTTTTAATGAATTGAATTCTACATTGGCGTCACTTTTTACAGAAGAACAAATTTATCGTATCGATCATTATTTGGGCAAAGAAATGGTACAAAATCTATTAATTCTACGGTAGGAGATTATACTATTTTTTTCTAAAAAAACTTCTTTAATATAATATTACTATTGTTAATTTTCCTCTATAGAATGTTAAGGTGGCTGACAAAAAACAAAGAGCCACTAACGTAGTATTATGTGTAGTGATTTTCAGTATAGTGCTTACAAAAAGAAGTAATGAGCATTTAAATTTTAGTTGGATAATTTCAAAAGTCAGGTTTTTCTGAAGCCATATGAACAGATTATGTGACAGCGAGAAAGAGAGAGGGAGGCGAAAGACAAATGATGAACATCTGTATTTTAAATGAGTTGTATTGAACTATTGAATCACATATTATCGTACACGGGACCGGTGTGTATTACTAACATGTGTCACCATTTTACTGTCGGGTAGTAGGAAAGTTAACTATATATGCAGGCTTACATAACAATAATCTAAGTCATGTTGATTTTGAATTTTATTGATACACAAAAAAGTTTTATGTTTCACATAAAAATGAATTTCAAGAATAATCGTTGCACAATTAACAATTAACAGAGCATACCTATTACACAAAGTAGTTATTTTGTGGAAATTGGTGTGCGTGTGTGCTTGTATTGGCTAAACTACTTTTTTCCTCTGATGGATAAGTAATATCAAAAGGATTTTAAAAAAAGAAACACGATACCATCTAGCACTTATGATTTAAAAATTATTACGTTTAAATGGTGGTGAAGACGTATCTATCCAAAAAAAAAAAATAATAATCGTATGGTAAATCGCTAGCGTCATCAAATATTTTACAGTTAGATAAAGAAATTTGCCGCTTTTATTGGTTAACCGTTTACAGATTGAATAGGCAGGTAATTTAGTAAAGTAACAGGTGTAATAAACTATACTTCGACTTCAAAAGCGAAATCGTGTCCTACAGAGCATATCGAGGAAAGTGAAGTACGCCTTGCTTTTCCTCTGTGTGCACTTATAAAACCGCCTTTGGCAACTACTGATTTTCACGTTTTATGTATAGCTCTAGAAATTTATATCATACTCAGGTATAGCTGGGTTGGATAGAATTCATTCTGCACCAAAGAGAGGACTAGACGCATCACACTAGTTACTAGTGTCAAATCAAAATATTCACTACGGTCCTACTGGAGGCCAATCGCGAGCCCGAATAGCTCAGTGGTAACGTCTCTGACTGCAGCATTGGGTGACGCGGGTTCGAATCTTAGAAGGGAGATTAGTTCCTTCAAGGTTGCAGATACGCCTTGCTGACGAGTGCCAACTAGCACGAAGCCTAGGTCCAAGGCTTCCTGCCGATTGCCTCCAACCATCTAATAACTGGATTGTTTTGAACCCTATTTGAGTGCAAGACATCTCTTATATACATATATTCTAAAAAGAATTTGTTTCTGGTTAGAATTAGCGTGTTTTACAAGTGGAGAAAATATTGAACGAGATATGGTCTTCACATCACGTTGTTGTGTTGTATATATATATATATATATGAGTTGAGTGTAAAGCCGAAATGCTGAACAGATTTTCAGTAGTTCCTTATCTAGTTTACATGTAAAATGTAGGTAGGTATGCATTATTTCTCATCATGTTATTACTATCCACCTGATTCATTCTACTTCAAACCTGGATACATTTCGGGTCATTTGTTTGTTATTTATTAATTCCTTTACGTTCCCAGTGAAACATAGGGCTTCAAGCCTCTACCTTGAAGTTCCTGTAGCAGTGTTTATTTTCACAGGATGGGGTTGCTAGCCTCATGCCCAATCTTTCCTATTTACCAGCTTTTATTTCTGGCTTAGCGAGGTAAAGGAGTGCGTCGGCTGGGGATCGAGCCCCGGACCATGTGCATGATCGGCGCGCATCCTAACCTCTGTGCCACCGACGCACTATTGTTTGTTATTAGGCTAACAAAACACAATAGAACGAAGCTATCTATGATGAAATATATTTTGTTCTTATAGTGATTTTAACAAACATAACTGCATGTGTCCGGTAAAGTGTATCCAATTTTGTAAGGCTCACCAAAAAAAATGGTTTACATAATTACCGGGTTAATTAGTGAAGCCAGTGAATTACTATTATTTATAAATTGTCAATTATCAACTTTAATACAATGAACTTTTATTTTATTTCATGTGAATAATACTATTATCATTTTCACATAAAATGGCAGTATGAATTCGAAAATTACTTGTAGAAATAAAATGTTACGACTATTGTGCCTTATATGTGGATTATAAATACAAACCGCCTAGTAAAATGTTCACCATCTAGTGGTTAACTGTTTGTGGTTTTATGTAAATCTCATGTTGACAATAACATGCAATGATTTTTGTAACCTCATTGTAGACATTAATCTCTGCGTCGGTGGTTCAGAGGTAGAATGGTCGCCAACCGTGCATGTAGTTCGAGGTTGGATCCCCGGTCGATGTACTCCTAAACCTCACTAGGTCGGTGAAGAGGGAAGGTTGAGCGTGAGGCTAGCAACCCCACCCCTTAAAACAAAACACCAATGCTACTGAAACTTCAGAGCTCTAGCTTGGAGTCCTATGTTCCATTGGAAACGTAAAGGAATAAAAAAGCACATTAATCTGGCCTTGGATGAAGACGTATATAACAATGATTTGCAGTGGGATCGCGTTTATACTTTAGAATACTGTAAAGAAAAGTATAGTTTGAGTAGTGAGACAGCATTGTTTCAACAACAGGTGGCGTGTACGAGGGTGTCGAAGCCAGGATCAGAAAGGCAAGACAGACCTTCATCAGTCTGAAGTCAGTGTGGGAATCCACTGTAATTAGCTTAAAGAACCAGATTCATATTTTGTACACTAATGTCAAGTCATTTCTTCTATATGGTTCAAAGACTTGGAGTGTCAAGAAAAACATTTCCAACAGGCTATAGACTGCCTTCGGTACATACTGAATAGCAAATAGTTAGAGATGAATATCAACACGGAACTCTAGCAACTAACCAATTAACAACCTTTCGCCCAACAAATTTACAGAATAAAGTGGAGATGGATTGGACACACGCTGAGGATGTCGTTGATTGAGTCGTCCACACGTCTGACAAGACATTAAGTGGAACCTGAATGGGAAATAACGAAGTTAGGCGTGGATCCCACAGGCGACATGGAGGAGATGACGGTTTATGGGCCAGCGTTGAGCCAGCTAAAGAGAACTGCAGAGAACAAGATGAAATGGAGATGTACTGCTGCTAAGAGCGTAGTAAATATAATAAATAATACTGAGTGTTGCAACAGTTAGAACAGTTCCCTACTGTACACATAGAGTAAAGTGCTCTAGGAAATTAATAGTATCTGCAACCGTCAGAGAAAAACCTGTAAGCTGATGGACAGCTTCACAGCCTATAATATTAATTCATGTAGCTAGTATTAACTTATCTACTTGAAAATTCTTGTTCATAGGAATTTGTGTTTCTCATATTTTAGGTTTTTTTCCACTCTTGGCCAGTGATTGTTGTGTGTATGTACGTGTGTGTAATATTTTTTATAATGAAATTCAAATAATTACTGGTTAGCGTTATTGAATATTTGAAAGTTCAAGTGTCTTTGATGTAATGAACTGAATTGAGAATAAAAACTGTAACGCATGTTATAAAATATGTTTGTTTAAAAAAAAAACACAACTTTATCAACTATTTTCATTTCAAAACAACTTATTTTAAGGTTTAAAGGATGCATATAAAATGTTACATATTAAGTGTGAGATAACTGTGAATAGTTTTATTTTACCCTAAAACTTGATGAATATCAACAGTGACTTATTCATCATGAAAATTGGTCACTAATATGTAAATAAGACTGATGTATAATCATTTCTTTTTGTATTTCTATTTTCTAACCTCGATAACTTTATATAAAGGAAGAATTGGAGAGTGTTTCTTTCTGAACATTAATTTATCCAGATGACTATATAGGTCATGCAATAATGTTAGCCTTAATAGCTTTTATGCTGTGTCTGTCTCTATTGCTCTGTTTATTTTACATCATTGTAGTGAATATTGTAACCGGCATTACAACAATAGCAGGGCGATTAAATACTTTCCTCGTAAATTGCTATTGGAAACTAATGTCATCCTGTTTGCATAAACTGTGTACTACTAATTGCTTGAGATGAGTAGTAGCATGCCCCTCTTATCAACCAGTAGTGCTTACTAGCCAGATCAAAGTGATTTAAACACCGGAGATCCGTTTCTCTCGTTTGGAGCCGAGCTTATCACCAGTGCACCCGGTTTGACTTATGTCAGAGATCCGAATTAGTTCAAACCACTCGATTTCTCGTTGGCTACTTGGTTGGGTGGTTTGAACTAATTCGGACCTCTGATCTGATTCAAAACTGGGTGCACCGCTGATGAGCTTGGCCCCAAATCAGCGAAACGGCCGTATTATGTTTAGATCACCCTGATCTGGCTAGCAAGCACTACTAGTTAGTAAGAGGGGTATGCTACTACTCATCTAAATCAATCAATCAGTAGTTGTGAATAGTTTCATCCAATTATGCCTGCTTTCTTGATTAACATTTATGGTATCATCAGGCAGATCACATATTGTGATATGAATAAATTGCTTTTCAAAGAAGACTACGACGAAATTTCACCACTCGAACTGTATCGATTGAAATCTGCTAACCAATGTGTCAATTGTGAATTTAATATCATGCTAGTTATGATTAGTCTGATAAAGTTAACAGCTGTCTTCGCTCAATACTCAAGATCAGATGGCTGGCCAGAAAAGATAAGCAACAGAGATCTCTGGGAGCAAACTGAACAGGAATAGATTGTGCAACAAATAGGCATGAAGAAATGGAGATAGATTGGCCATACTCTGAGGAAACCATCAAGTGACATCACTAGACAAGCCATTGCTCGAGTGGAACCCGAAAGAGAAGCGGCGAGTTGGTCGTCAGTGCAAGGGTGACTTGGAGGAGGTAATGTGAAGAGGAGATGAAAACGTGTGGACAGACTTGGAGCCAGGTGAAGACTCTAGCAGAGAACCGAACGCAATGGAGATGCGCCGCTGAAGCCCTATGTTCCTCTAGGAATTAAAGGAAATAATAATAATAAAGTTATTCGTCTGTACAAGCACTAGTGTCAACTAATAATACTTAATAATATATATATTCAATGGTGGTGTTCCAGCAAGACTTCGTAACAAAAAGCATACATGTATTCACATATAAAATTACTATATTATCTGTTTTAAAACACCCTAAAGAATACTGACATTATCAGTCGTCTGCTGGCTAGATAAAATCACTCTAAAAATATTGTAAAGGCATGAAAACAATTTACTCGACTAGAAACTGATTTTTTCACAATAAAATATTAGCTGTTTACATTTGTAAATAAAAACGCCTGTGTCCTGACAAAAATACATCAGAAATGTGTAAATTGTGATCATTTTTGGTAAGCAGGTCTCCATGATTATATCGAATGAACAGTCCATAAATTATTATTATTATTATTATTGTTCCCTTGGGTTCCTAGTGGAACATAGGGCTTCAACTGCACGTCTCCACTTGCTTCTGTCTTGTGCTGTACTTTTCACTTGCGTCCATGTTATTCCATACTGTTTCATCTCCTCCTCACACGATCTCCTCCATGTCACCCTTGGACGTCCCACTCGCCGCTTCCCTTTCGGGTTCCACTCGAGGGCTTGACGCGCGATGTCACTCAATGGCCTCCTCAGCGAGTGTCCAATCCATCTCCACTTCCTCCTGCATATTTGTTGGGCGATTGGTTCCTGTTTCGTTTGTTCCCATAGCTTCTTGTTTGTGATTCTTTCTGGCCATCTTATCTTCAGTATGGAGCGAAGACAGTTGTTGATAAAGGTCTGCAACAGGCTGTTGCAAATATTCTTTGTGACCCGCCAAGTTTCTGATCCGTATAGAAGAACTGACTTGACCTCGTTTGTATTGAAAATCCGAATTTCGTTGTTGATGTTGAGTGATTAAGATTTCCAGATTGGTTTCAGGTTGATGAATGTGTTTCTCGCCTTCCTGATTCTCGATTTGACTTCCTCGTCCGTTCCTTCTGTAGTTGAGACAATGCTCCCTAGATAAGTGAATGAAGTAACCTCTTTCAAATCCCTCCCGTTGATGGTGATTGGCGCTGGATGTTGCTGCTGTTGTTGGTTGTTTATTTTCATAACGTCCGTCTTGTCTATGTTGACCTGGAGTCCTGTGTTTGCTGCTTCTTCGACCAGTTTGTCGGTTTTTGCTTGTAAGTCTTTGATTTTGTGTGAAATCAAATATAAATCATCTGCGGAATCCAGGTCTTCTAGGTTCTTCACGTCGGTCCAGGATATCCCTGTCTTCTCGTTTCCCACTGTATGACGCATAATCCAGTCCACCACAATTAGGAATATCATTGGTATAGTATTAATAAGTAGTTATATATATTCATTATATTGATTCACAATCAACTGACTGCATAAGATATGTATTAATAATACATTAGAACAAGAGTATCCGACTTCTCATTCACTCATAAACCTGTATTTGAATACCTTAGTTTTTTATATTTTTTTATATTCCTTTACGTTCCCAGTGGAACATAGGGCTTCAAGCTAGAGGCTTGAAGTATCAGTAGCAGTGGTGTTTATTTTTACGAGATGGAGTTGCTAGCCTCATGCCCAACCTTCCCTCTTTACCAGTCTTATTACTGGCTTAGCGAGGTTTGGGAGTGCGTCGGCCGGGGATCGAGCCCCGAACCACCCGCGTGGTCGGCAAGCACTCTACCGCTGTGCCACCGACGCTAAGAATACCTTAGTAATATATCTTATATTGTCAGTCATAATGATGAAATGTAGACCAGTGAATATTTTCAGAATTTGACAGATGACAAAGAATAAGTACATCTTCAATACTGTAAGCCATTTTGAGCCATGTTACTAATTGTTTCCAACTATTGATTTCTAGCGTCCAGCGAATACCAGTTAGACACCCCACTTCTTCCTGTTTGGCTCAGGGACTTCGTAGATTTGTGTTACTTTAGCTGATGTTACTTCCCAGTTTATGGTGGCTGTAGTTTGGTATGTTTCACTTATGTTCTAACCATCCCAATTCATGGAGCCGTACAACCCCATAGATTGACTTCTACTGCTAAACTAAACCTTTATGCCTAAACTCATTATTACTGAATATATCGTACCACTTGACACGAGAGATTGAATTTGGACACGTATGATCAAAAAGGGCTAATCTCTTCATGTCTTCCACCGTCACCGACCAATACTCACAACAAACTACTGAAGAGTACATATAATTTTTTATATTTAATTGGATATCATACCTAAAACAACTACGTTGACGCAAGCTGACGAAGCCAAACAAGCCCTTTTTCATATTTTCCTCAGGTTTTGTTTATATCGAGTTTATAAGGTCTGATGCAGCTTCTCAAATCAGTGAAACAACTAGCACATAAAACATTTCACTGCTTATCCTCAAATTAGTAGTTGTTGTAAATCAGTCTCCTGTTGTAGTGTCATCTTTCATTTAACATGCAGGAATCCCATGACAAACACACATATGTTTGAACGGTGTCTCTAGTAGACTGTGCGTTTACTTTTTCAGTATCTCAGCCTAAAAGAGCTATATCCTCTGCATACTTTGAATCAATGTTTTAAACATCGAAGTAGACTGGAGTCATATATATGTATATATGTACTTCAGAACTTGAAAGCTTGACTAAGTCACAAATGTATCTGGGATGACTTTAAAAGATGTCTGTTGTGTTTCACTTATCCTATGCTGTGTTCAATTCATGTAAGATGAGTTCAAACATTTGACTGGTTGTTTGGTGTTCAGTTGTGTTATGCATATTGATAAGTAGATATTTCAGTAATTCATGAAAAATCCCTTGTAGGACATTTAGAAAATAAAGAAACTTTGTTGGCTATTCCACTTAATTTAGCTGTACAACAGCGTTTGTGTACAGCTTTCTAACATGAATGTATTCAATACTTTTTCTATGTTTTTAAAAGATTTTCAATGTAGATTTCGTCATCAACCAACATCAGTTAGACAGCTGACTGAAAACCAAGAAGCACTCAATAACTGTTTTGTCCTGGTCTGGGATTCTTCAGTAGCACGTACCCTTGGCCCCAACAGGAATCGAACCCATGACCTTCAGGTTACGAGACCAAGCTCGTTGACCACTCAGCCCCATGGGCCAGAATTCACTGATGTGTGAATTTCAACTTTGTCAATCCGTGATATACTGCTATCCTCAACTAATGCCTTCGATTAGTATCATTTTCACCTTGACATAGGGTACCCCACTGGTCACGACTTCTCAGTACAGGGCTATATCACTAATGGACAAAGTTAGAATTCCTGCGTCGTTGAATTCTGGCCCATGGGGCTGAAAGGTCAACGAGCTTGTTATCGTAACTTGGAGATCATGGGTTCGATTCCTGCTGTGACCGAGGGTGCGAACTACTGAAGAGTCCCAAACTAGGGCGAAACGGCTATCGAGCTCTCTGGTTTTCAATGAGCTGTCTAACTGGTTTTGGTTGGTGACGAAATCTACACCGAATTTAATCCAAATCCCAATAAGAAAGCTCATAATTTAAAAGATTTTGTTGGGAAGACCTAGTAATACGAAAAGCAAATAACCTAGGAAATTAAAGTCGAATAGAGTAGTCATTAGAAATTTGATAAAGTTTTTGCTTTTAAAGAAGAAATTGAGCAATGAAAGAAAATATTTCATCAATCAATTATTATCAAAATGAAGTAGGAAAAAGCTGATATTGAATGAGGTATGAATAGATTCACGAAAGTGGAAGGACATTTTAAATTTTCGAAGGTTGTAAAGCTGAAAGGAGGACAGTGTAAACAAGTCAAGCTTTGGCTTCTCTCTATCCCAATAGGTAAAACCTAAAAGGTTACTCTGAAGCATGGGATTGAAATTGGATGACCAATGTCGACAATATGCATACTCGTGTAAAAAAACTTATATACAATTGTGTGTACTGCCACAAAGATACCTGCTATTTATGATTACTTTACAAACAAAATAGTGTAGAAATATTTTTACAAAAATGTGTATGTGTGTGTCTGGTTAAATGGTCGAATAGCGTCAATGTAAATGAGGTATAAATGCAAATATGAATTTAAGTAGTATTACAGATGGTTAACAAAACTCTAGTTCAGTTGTAATTTGTAATTGAATAAGGAATAATAAAACATTCTTATGTTGTTGCTACTTATTTAGTCTATTGAAAAGTGCATTTTTATAACTTTTAATCGATTAAAACGCTCTAATCATCAAGAAAAAATTTAGTGTTTTGGTGATTAGGAAAATTGTTATTATGGTTTCTGTGAGCTTTCGACTTCATCCTTTGAAAACGGAATATGACACTGCAATCCCCTTCAACAGAATAAACCAACTGTCCTTTACTTTCTAGTTTATGACGGCCTGTTTAAATCACTTGGCTGCCTAAGTTTCCTATTCATCAAAATGCATCATATTCACTCCATTTCATATCTTAATCATCTAATTACCACATCGAGTCGCAGTTTATACTCGTGCACAATTTCAAATAAGTTTCTAACTATCGCTAAACACTTTTTGAAGGAACTGGAGGAAGAACATTGTGAAGTAGTAGTATTGGAGCAAGTTACGGAAGGAAGAATATTGATTCAGTAATATTGTCGATTATATTATTTGAAAATTTGGCACAAGGAATAGATACCTTGCCATGAAACACGCTGAAAACTCTGTATTGTGTCTAAACGCACTTTTCATAATAAAGCTATCATTATTATCATTATCATTGTAATTAATTAGTTGGTTTTTAGGGAAATCACCCTTATATTAAAGTGTATAAAATATTAGTTTATTGTGTAGTATGCAGAATAATATGTTAACTCTACATGGATATTTATGTATATATATGTATACTTTGTTGACGTTTTCAGATTCTGTAATCAAATCTTTAATCCACTATGGAATCGTGAAAATATTGATAATATTACAATATCATTTAAAGAACCATTTGGAACAGAAGGACGCGGTGGTTATTTTGATCAATTTGGAATAATTCGGTGAGTACATACTGAAATTACCTCAATACATTATGTTGATTTTACTCTGTAAGTACACCAGGATTCTTCAACCCGTTCATGCCTCCATAAACAACCTGGTACGAGTGAGAGTGAGTAGACTTCGGTCTTCCTCTCCAAATACCCCCATGTGGCCACACGTTCATAACCTCTGCTAGGTAATTCCTATTCACTGACTTCATGTACCTTGCGTGTTCCTCACAAAAGTGAAACGGTAAATGCGAACGTCTGACGCTTACAACCAAACACATGGATATGTTGGTTTACATAGAGGAGCTGGAAAACCCTGATTCCAAACCAATGGTATACATTGACTCCAGAATAAGAAACGATCGAGTGGCTTTTGAACCTGTTTTAAACACTGGAATCTATGGAAACGTAGCTATTGACGCTGCTCCACTGCCTTGTGAGTAAGACTTCAAGTCGAAGGCTCCATGTGGTGGCTTGTCAAGAAAACCACCTGTTTGGTCTGGGCGTCAGAGCAGTTATTCAGCCCTCGCACAAACTATGAGATTTTGTGTGGTGCACCTTTTGGTGAGCGTAATATGCCAAGTCTGTGTTTTAAGTAAATAAAATAAGTCGCTTTGGGAATGTACTGTCATGTAGTTACTTTCCACTTATTCAAAAAAAATATTTTTGTTTATTTCGGTAACTTTTTGGGTTTTGTTTTTGTTCTTTTGTGGTACAACGCAAACTTGATTTATGGCATTTTTGTCAGGCACTATATGCTTTTATTTTTCTGTACCATAAGAAAAGATTGTTTTGGCTAATTGTGTGTATGCTAAGTAATCTGACAACAACGGCTATTAGCGGCTTGCTTGAATCACTAGGCTGCTTGAAATTCCATCCAAAAATAACGCATCATATTTTCTCTAATTCTTGTTGTTTTAACCGCTGAATTATCTTCTTGGGTCGCAAAGTCTACTCACGCATATTTTTTAACTGGCTTTAAAAATGCCGATTCTCATTCTTCGCAAATGAAGGGAGTATATCATAAGGAGATAAGTCTGTACTTCAGATCGTACGGCATTGCGTCACATGATATACTATAAATTGCTAATTGACTTGAAGATCCTAGATAAAGGGAAAATATTATGCAATAGGTTACTCTGAGAATTTCGTAAATTGTGTAAATATGTTGTCCAGAATAAAGCTATTATTGTTATAAACCTTTTTTAGTTTATTACTGACTTACAAGTGACAATGAATAATTTTTCGCTTATTTTTAAGTCCATTAAAACTACTGAGTTACAGGATTTCATCATGAGCTGACATCTGTTAGAGAACCATTGGAAAACATGGGATTACTGGACAGCTGTTTCGTCCTGGTCTGGGGCTCTCCATCAGTACGCACCCACCGCAGGGGCTCGAACCCTGAATCTTCTGGTTACAAGGCGAACTTGTAGACCATTAAGCCAATGGGAGCAGATCCAATGGCCCATGAATTCCAACTTCTGCCAATTCACGACATAGCGCGACCACTAGCCAATGTCATCAGTGGCGAGTATTTGTCCTCACGCCCGACCTGCTGTACCCTATTGGTCACGACTTCCCACTAGAACCCCAGATAACTACCTACCTGAATAGGGACAGTCGCTAGTGAGCATCTCATTGATATTCAAGTATTGTTTTATAGGTTTTCCAATAATTCTTTAACCGGTGTCAGCTCATGATGAAATCCTGTAACCAATCAATCAAATTCCTACAAACCAATACTTGAAAACTACTGAGTCATTTACTCGGAACACTTTCGACAATACTTTGATTGGCCACTAGGTAATAAATAATGTCGTGCTTGTCTAGTCCTTGGGTTAGAGCAGACTGAATTCTACCAATCAATTTCGCAATGTATTTACCACACAAAGTGACTCACAATCGCTGCGCCCATTGAATTGACATATGATGACTGTAGGTAATCGGTAGGAAGCCGTGGACCTAGGTTTCGTGCTTGTTAGAACTCGTAAGCAAGGCGTATCTGCAATTCATGTGCCCTCTGAGATTCAAACCAGCGTCACCTAATGCTGTGATCAAAGACATTGTCAATGAGCTATTCGGGCTCACGACTGATCTCCTGTAGGACTGTAATAGATGCTTTGACTAGTCACTAAGCATTAACCGGTGCCATTCGTCTAGTCCGTGGGTTTTTACTTTATAAAACCATAGTAACCAGTGTGTATATGTTTGACCTCACGAGTTTGAGCATTTCACTGTTGTTAGTGTTTTAACAGAGGTAACACTAGTGTTTTTCTTCTTTCTAAAGAAATACATTGACACATAGTCTTCTGAGGTTATTTGTTTTCCTTTTCTGTAGCGTATCTTTGGAAAATATCTTTGTAGAAAGTGTGTGATCTTTGACTGATTGAGATGTCTACTTGCCTCCAATAAAGTCTACATTTTTTTACTTTATCCTACCTTCATGTCTATCCAGTTATAGAAGTTAAAATGTAACTTCTGTTGCATATTTATCATTGACTCTAAAAATCTATAATTCTGATATAAGAGTAGAATTGAGGCATTGTGATGGAGTATAATTTTGTGTAATAAAAATAATTTCATTTGATAAAACCCCCATGGTGATATTGTATTCAGGAGGTCAATCGCGAGCCCGAATAGCTCAGTGGTAACGTCTCTGACTGCAGCACTAGGTGACGCGGGTTCAAATCTCAGAAGGGACATGAATTCCTTCAAGGTTGCAGATACGCCTTGCTGACTGACCGATGAGTGCCAACTAGCACGAAACCTAGGTCGAGCAAGGCTTCCTGTGGCCGATTGCCTCCAACTATCTAATATCATCAAATCAATGTGCACCGTGATGGTGAGCTACCTAGAATGGTGGCCACATTGCAAACCTGACTGATAGAATTCAGTCTGCACCAAAGAAAGGACTAAACACGTCACACTAGTTACTAGTGTCCAATCAAGATATTGTATTCTACTTATATACTGATGATATTTTGAGCCTATTCTATTGCACATAATCATATCAAGGTTTTATAAGCAATATGAGCAATAAATTACTCTGATAACGTGATTATATCCACTAAAAGGTAGTGTGTATGGATCTCAGTTTTATACACAACCCTTATTTTTAAACATCTTCATGAGTCTTTTTCAAATTTGTGGAGTGAATAATATATATTTGCAGTGCAATTTACTCAATCGATAGAAATTAAAATTGATGTAACTCTTTTTTTTTCACTTTTTTTTAGTGACGTTGTTCAAAATCATCTCATTCAAATACTGTCATTAGTGGCAATGGAAAAACCTGTCTCTGTCAATGCTGATGATATACGTGATGAGAAGGTAGGTGATACTGTTCTGTAGAAATTGCTTTTATATTATCAGTGTTGTTTATCTGAATTGATGACAAAATAATGATCAGCTTTTGTTGTGTATCAAGTATGCAACATGGCGTATTCTTTGTTTTCCTTTGTTGTTAATATTCTTTTTATAGTTAAAAGTAGTAAAAGCTTTATGTTTTTAACTCTGATATGATTTTATTTATTGTTTTTTCTTCAATAATATTCTTAAATATTCACAACAACTTTTAAAGCTAAAGACTATGTCTGCTTGGTAAATCAATATACATTCTTGTTAGATGATCGGAGGCAATCACCAGGATGCTCTGCCAGGGACCTAGGCTTTGTGTTTGTTGGGACTTGTCAGCAAGATGCATCTACAGTCTTGAAGGAACTCATGTCCTTTCTGATATTCCAACCCGATTCACCTAGTGTTGCAGTCAGAGACGTTATTACTGAGCTATTCAGGCTCGCAGTCATGGATGCTTTGACTGAACAGTAGGTATTATCTAATGTCATGTGTTTAATCCTTCATTTCGTGTAGACTGAATTCTATCAGTTAAGTTTATTTTGTAAAAATTATGTATGTTTTTTAAATCTCAGCGAAATTGAAATAAATGGCAAAGTTAAACTATCATAGCCAAACTAAAGTGACCTTGAGCAACCAATCAGAATTCAGATGCCGAAAAACCATCAATATTGCTAAAAAATGTATTTATAACGTTAGAAAAATGTTATTAAACTGGATAATGGTCTCTAATATGTTGTAAAAACTTCTCCCAGTTTTTTTCAAGGATAATCAGCAGAGAGACTACACCATAGCCCTTCTTGCTGTCCTATCGTACTTCTTTATGACGACATTTTTATCAATTTGAACAACTACTTATACTCCTCCAAGACAGCCAGTAATCCCCTGTAACTTCCATGACACTATGTTAGTACAGTGCTGATACAATTGCACTGTAGAGACTAGGCTATTTTCTGTATCAGCTGCTGCTGACCTTACAGGTCTTGTGAAATCCAACACTACATAAGGCGTAGGATATCCGTCAAAGACAGCTTAGACTTCGAGAAGAAAGTACCTAAGGGATAAGTAAAGTACTGCACCTACCCTCACGAACAGATTTTCTCTTACGACATGAACTCCATCTATAACAGTATTTATCCCCAGCATCGTTGTATTGCTTTAGCGTCATAATGTCTCCACAAACACAACTCTTAGTCACTCCAATTAATCTATTATTAATACAGTAATTAAATGCTCGATCTCAGCGGAATTCGCTAACCAAATCTATAAACACAGGCATAATTTCTGCTTGGAATGACCTTCGGAAGCGTCCGACGAATCTGACTGGTCCTTCAGGGTCAACCTTGAAAGACCTTAGCTGTGGCTATGGTGCTTTAACTTCACCAAATAAATAATTCTAACATTACCTTTGATATTTTGATTTTTACTATTCCCCTGATGAATTTCGAACCAGTTTGCCTAGTGAACCGATTGAATTACTTATTTCAATTTCTCTGAGATTTTTATATAATTATAATTTTTACATACGTCTACTTTTCACTCGATGTCTAATTATTGTAGGACTGTTCGTTTAAATCTTGTTCAGAGTTTGAATAAAGTAGAATCAATTCTTTTGAAATCTATGATCAAAGTTGTTTGTGCTGCAAATCTTGTCACAGCTTAGGTTTCTTTTCAATTTCAGTCATTCCTGTCAATAAATTTAATTTTGTATCATGTAGTGCTTTCAATTTGTTACTCATACCGAACTTCATAATTCCACACACATGCACATCTCAGAAAGCTTCACCTGTGGTCAACAAATCAGACATTATGGTGGCGTTCAGTAGAATTATTTCTGTACAGCTCATGATTTAATACTTATTTATCTTCTAAAATTTATGATCAACGTACCTACATTTTAATATGAAATATAAAATAATATTATGACACAAATTCTTATGTTCACAACACTTTTCAATCTTTGTTTTTCACTCCCTGCATTCCGAGTGAAACATAGGGCTGTGATATTACGTCTACGGAGTAGAGTAACTAGCCTTACATCCAACCTTCCTTTCTTCTCATTTTACTACCGGCCGTTAAACCAGATGAGGTTTAGGAGTGAGTCAGTTGGGAATCAAACTGGAACAGCTTAGGTTGTTGGAGAGCATTCTAACACTGAACCACCCACGCACATTGCATTAATTAATTTGAGAGAGTGTCAGTTGTTACTAACAGGTTGCTTGTTTGTTACAATACAACAAACTTACTGATGCTTGAATGAATTGATATCTTAATAGTAGAATTATTGGTACAGTATGCTACAGAATGATATGTATTTCAGTAATTTATATCGATTTTTTCTATTTTAATTTATTAAAACATTAACTTGGTACATTATGGACACTAAGAGATGCGCCACACGAAATTTCACAGTTTGTGCGAGACGCCCAGACCAAAGCAGGTGGTTTTCCTAACAAGCCACCACATGGAGCCTTCGACTTGAAGTCTTACTCACAAGGCAGTGGAGCAACGTCAGGAGCTACGTTTCCATAGTTTCCAGTGTCCGAAACAGGTTCAAAAGCCACTCGATCGTTTCTTATGTTGGAGTCAATGGATACCATAGATTTGGAGTCAGGGTTTCCACCTCACCTATGTAGACCAACATATCCACCAGTTTTCTTGTAAGCGTCGAACGTTTGCATTTGCCATTTCACTTTTATAAGGGACATCCTTGTCACATGAAGACAGTGATTAGGACCTACCTAGCAGAGGTTATGAACGTGTGGCCATATGAGAGCATTTGGAGAGGACGACCGAAGTCTACTCACCCTCGGTCGTACCAGGTCGTTTATTGGGACTTGATTGGTCTTTGGTGAGTACATGGCAATCGAATTCTAGTGCTCAAGTTTCCAGTGTAATCACTGGGCAGAAAGATTTGCAAATACAATGCGCTTATAAATGATGCCAGGCAGTTAAAAAAGATTGGTATTTCAAACATTTATAAGCGTTTGCTAACCAGTGTCAGCGAACACTGCATTCAAAAACTTTTAGACTTCAACAAACTTAGGTTAGGTGATTCTGTGAATGATATTATCATCCTCCTCTCTTGAGAGGATGCTTAAGCATGTGAAATCTGTCTGATGATTGCTGGCGACTGTCTCCAACCACATGATATCAATTACGGTATTCTTGTATGCAGTTTTTTTAATCTTAATTAATATTCATTTTCATGGTTTAGGTAAGGTAGACAAAACAGTATTGTGTACTTATATGTATATCTTCAGGTGTACTGTATAGTTTCATTCTTTTAAGAGTAAACTTTATAATTCGGAAGTTAGATGAATTATTTTCTAAAATACTTCCTTCGTTTTCTATACGAAATATTTTCTCATAAAAGATTTCTTTTCATTCTAGTGTACATTTTTATATAACTCAGATTTAGGTAACATATGACGGAGATTAGAAATAAAACCGTTTTTTGTGTGCTCACATTACTCTCTTCATACCATTAAATAATTCTTGTTTCTCTGTTGTTCTCTATCAATACACAATCATCTTGACTAATTTCTTTTACAAGCAAATGACCAAAAGTTAACTGTATTAACGAACAATTCACGTGATTCTTTAAACATTCTTTTTATATGCCAACAAGTCGTGATTAAAATCAAAATAACTGTAAAGGTCAAAAGAATCTACTGTTCTTATCAAATTGTCTTAAATTTAGCGAAACGGGTAATGTAGTAGATTAGCGGTAGTAATACATACTTGTTTGTATAAATTTCACGACATCGACTCAGGATCTAGATATTGAATTAGTCGCGTTCTCTTAGCTGGTTGATTTAATTATGAAGCTTTCGTCGTCCTTCTAGACAACATCTTCAGTACAGGTTTCAGTATAAAATGGACTTATATAAATTCTCCATGAATGATGCGATTGTATCTCCTGGCAACTACTGCCGTGACTGGTTGTTGAGACTATTATTCGTCCCTCGGGTTCCGAGTGTAACACAGGGCTTCAGCAGCACACCTCCATTCCACTCGGTTCTTTGGAGTCTTCTTCAGTTAGCTCCTTAATTGTTCATAAGCCGTCATCTTCTCCTCACACTATCTTCTTCATGTCACCCTCGGACGGCTAAACCGTCTCTTCGCATTCGACTTCCACTTGAGGGTCTAGCACGTGATGTCATTCAACAGTCTCCTCAGCTTACGTCCGATCTATCTCCATTTTCTTCGGGATATTTGTTAGTCATTAGGTTCTCGGTTGGTTGGTTGGTTGGTTGCCAGAGTTCATTAGAGCTTATTCTTTCTGGCTATCTGATATTCACTATCGAGGTGCCGAATGCAGATGTTGATGAAAGTCTGACGCATACTGTTGGAGATGATTTTCATGACACACCGTCTCTGAATCATATGGAAGCACTGATTCGACATTATTGTTAAATATCTTGATCATGTTCTTTATGCTGAATGCAGTAGATTTCCAAACCAATTTCAGGTCTGTTTTGCTTTTCCTTTCCTGGCTTTGACATCCTCATCGTTTTTCCTGTACTATGTATACTTTGCAAACACGCACTTTTATCATTGTGTCCAAGGTAATTCGTAAGGATTTATATCATTTTCGTAAGTAATTTGTTAGGGTTAGACTGATGTTTCTTACTCCAAACAGATAAAACGATCCAGTTTTGAGTTGTTCAACGTTCAATCTTCATTGAGCACAAAAGCTTTCTTGTTGTTAGTGGCAGTAATTAATTGGGTCGGAGTCGTGCTTTTAAGTATGTCAACTCGTGAATTCACTTGGAATCAGTCAAATCCCTGTAAACCAACACTTGAGAATTCTAGGAGTTGACATTTAAAGAAATTTAAGTTACCATATTGAGCAGTAGTGCGTCGGTGGTTCAATGAATGTTTACCGACCACGCACGTGGTCCTGGATTCGATTCACGACCGACGCACTCCATAACCTCACTTAACTGGTTGTAAGCCTATTAAGGAGAGAA